GAGGAGTGGCTGGTGGGTTTGAACCGCCAGCCTTCTGGTTAGTGGTCAAGTGCTTTAGGCACTATGCTACCAGATCTCCCTTGGTTGTCATTAGCTTTATATATTTTTTCCCATCTCTTGATTTTAATTTATTTTTATCTTTGTGTGTAAGGTGGGTCTCTCATAGGCAGTATATTGATAGGTCTTCTTTTCTTATCCAATCTGCCACTCGTTTTCTTTTGACTGGTGCATTTAGTCCATTCACATTTAGTGTAATTAATGATAGTTATGAATTTATTGCTGTCATTCTATTGTGTTTTTTTATTGTGTAGCTGGTGATTTCTTTGATCCACATATTTTTCTGTGCTGAGTTCATTTTGTTATCAAGTATTTTTTCTCTTTTCTTCACTATTTTTGGTTTTGTGTTAACTAAGCCCTTGCAGTTTTCTTCTTTCTTACTTTGGTTAGAAGCATTGTCAATTTCCTTTGTGGTTATCCTGAAGTAAATTCTTATCTCCCTAAGTTTGGAACAGTCTATTCTATAAAGATATTGTCCTGACTTCCTCTCCATTTGGAAGTTTTGTAATAATAACATTTATTCCCTCTATTCACTCTGTTATTGGTGGTGTTTACAGATTGACTCCTCTATTTCTCTATTTACATTTTTTATGAGCTTATTTTGAAAATCTTTTTCTGGGTTGGTTTCTAGGTGGTGGTGTCAAGTGTCTTGATTTTAATTTGTTGCTCTCTGATGTGGGTTTTCTGTTAGAAGGACTCCCTTTAGCAATTTTTATAGGGTTGGTATGGTTTTCACAAATTCTCTTAATTTCTGTTTGTCTGGGAATATCTTAATTTTACCCTCATATTTAAGAGACTGTTTGGCTGGATATATAATTCTTGGCTGGCAATTCTCATACTTCAAGGTTTTGTATATGTCATCCCATTGCCTTCTTACTTGCATGGTTTCTGCTGAGAAATCAGAGCTTAGTCTTATCGATTGACCGATGTAGGTAACATTTCCTTTTTCCCAAGCTGCTTTCAAGATTCTTCCTTTGTCTTTAGTTTTCAAAAGTTTGATTATGATATGTCTTAGTTATTTTCTCTTGGGGTCTATCCTGTATAGGGTTCATTGAGCTTCTTGGATGGATATCTTTTCTTCTTTCATGATATGGGGGAAGTTTTCTATTATCACGTCTTTGACAATTTTCTCGAGGGTTTTTGTTTTGTTTTGTTTTCTTGTTTGCCTCCTCTTGTTCTGGAATTCCAATCAGGCGTATTTTTTTCTTTTCATGTCATCCCTTATAACTCTTAGGTTTTCTTCATTTCTTTTAAATCTTTGTTCTGATTTGTCCTCATCCAAGCTGATGTCAAGGGATTTGTCTTCTATGGGAAATGCATTCTTCAGCCATTTTGAGTCTACTCATTTGTCCTTCCATAATTTTAGTGTTCATCTTCTGGATTTTTAATCGGTGTTTTTTGTATGATTTCTAATTGAGTATTTGTTTTGTCCTTTTGCTCTTGAAAGATTTTCCTGAATTCTTCAAGGGTATTGTCTGTCTTCTCATTGCTTCTATTTATGGTTTCCTTGAGCTCTTGGAGGCTCCTATATAAACATATATCTTTTTAATTCCTTATCAGATAGCTCTATTACTTGTTCTTCCTCAAGGAAATTTCCTAATTCTTTAGTTTGGACACTTTTTTCTGCCATCTTGTCCTTTTCTTTTTTTTGAAGTTGTCTTTTTGTTTCCTAGACATTTTGAAGCTGTTGTCTTTATTGTTAGGTAATACTGATTTGTTTCACCCTGGTTTTATGTTTTACTTTGTTTTAATATAACTGGAAGTGTAGAGCAGGTGTACTTCTTTGGTTGTTAGCTTGGCTGTGCTGGGTTGCTCTTCAGCTTTGTCTGTGTTGGTGGAGTCACTGGTGGGTATGTGGATGCAGGTCTCTGTGGTGAAGAGGGACAGTTGGGACAAACAGGTGTTGTCCGCCATCTGTCATTGACCCTGTGGTGCAGAAGCTATTGGTGTTACTCATCTGTTGGGTGAGGTGTTTGGTGTAGTAACTATGGCTGACTAGTGAAGGGTTAATATGTTCCTCCCGTTGGATGAAGCAGGGGGAAAAAAAGGAGAAAAAAAGGAAAGTAAGGAGAAAGAGAGATGAAAGATAGAATAAAAACAGATGATAAGAAATAGGGAAAAAAAGAAAGAGAATATAAGAAAAAGGGAGAAAGCAAAAGTGGGCAGGTGAGAGGAATGAAGGTTTGGTAAAAATGAAAGAAGATGAGGTACAGAGATTTATAGGGATCAGACAGAAAGGAAGAAAAATTGGGTATGTGGAAAGTAGATAATGAAGGGAGGATAAGGTAATTGAGGGGGGATTTTTCTAGTTATGTTCAGCCAGAGGCCCCGGGATCTGGCTATTGTGGCAGAATCTGCTCATTATCGAGTACCTATGTAGGAAAAAGGAGACTGGTGCAAGAAGTGACCTCCAGGAGAGAAGTCTTATTTTTTGTGCTTAGTGTGAGATAGTTCAGCCAGCAGCCCCTGTGTCCATTTGGAGAGGTTCGCTGATGGTGGCATTTCGCTGTCAATCAAGGCCCTGCAGTTCAAACCCACCAGCTGCCCCAAAGGAGAAAGCACAGCAGCCCTCCTCCACAAGGATCCGCAAGCCCCAAAATGCCAGGCCTCAATTCAACTCTGCTAAAAAGAGTTGGACTTGAGCCCACTGCCATGGGTCCAATTTGGGGTTTTGTTTATTCAGAGAGAGTTTCTCTTCCCTTTCCCTCACTCACTCCTGGACTCTGCAGCATCTTAAGCTACAGGGAGGTCTGATCCGTTTCCCAACCCGATCTTCTCCCACTCTGTCTACTGTGTCTTTAACGCCTGTGGGTTCCTTGAAGTTTGTTTTTTCCCTTTCCCCTTCAGCCGCCTTTGTGTTTCTAATGATTTGTCTCTTAAGCTCACCTGGCTGCCTACCTTTTTTCTTTTTTTCCTGCTCCCTTTCCCTGTCTTCACTGGATCCAATATTCGATCTTATTAGATGCTCATAACTCCAGGATCATTATTTGTATCTGTTTTACATAGTTACTCAAAATCTCTGTTGAAAGAGGGATCTGGCATGCAGTCTGTTAGTAGGATGCCATCTTTGTCCCATACATCTGGCACCACACATGTGTTAAATACTAACTTGTTAATACTCCTGGGAAACTTAATCAGGATCCAGAGGAATAAATTGTTGCCATATAGACTAGGAAGCACAGAAGTTGACTCTAGATATTACCTGAGAGGGACTTGGCATTGAGAATGAATAAGAAGTGTCTGAATAATGGCCATGAGGGAATTCATGGTCTAAAATTTACATATGGTCTATTCTGGAGAATGATCCATATACCTGGACAAGAATGTGTATTATGCTTTTGCTGGGTGGAGTGCTCTGTATATGTCTATGACGTCAAGTTGGTTGACCTCATACAAACATATATTGGTCATCTTCTACAGATCAAGCACTACGAAAGGTTCTTGATTTATAGGGAATTTTGTCTGCCTGCTAGGTTCTACCACTACCCAGCAGCTCCCATGGCATCCTTGGTATAATGCAAAAGGCACAGTTTTGATGTTGCTTAAAATAGGTTCAGAAAAATAGGAATATAGGGTTATCACTGAGTGGCCATGAGCATATTTATTTAACATCTTTGAAAATCAGCTTCCTTATCTCCAAAGGAAGGGTCACTCTACATATTTAATAAGGTTTTTGGGAGGGTTAATAATAATAGGAAATCCAAAATGTATTGAATGTTTACTAAGGGGTGAACACATTCTTATATTTAATTTTTACAAAAGCATAAAAAAGTAAGTACTACTATTGACTCAATCTTACAAATTGTATTCTAGTATGGAAGGGAGGAATAAACAGGGAATTAAGGCTTAGAGATTGTCTTGCCATCTTGCATGAAGCCACTCGAGTCAAGTTGGGTTTAAGCCAAGCCCACTCATTGCTCTAATTACCACACCTGATTCTTGACAAGTCCTCAATCAGTGTTCGTTCCCTTTCTCTTTCCTGCCCTCACAGTCATTGCATAGACCTTTGCTTTTTGGGGTCTTGGGTTTATGTGATCCTAGACGACTAACAGAACTCACAACAGAAGAGGGTAGGCTTACTCCTGTGGGCTAATGTGGGTACAGTGAGTGCCCTGTGAAGAGAGACCAAACAGATTCTCCAGATCCTGGGATTCCATGATTCCTGAGTCTGCACTTGCTAAAATCCACGAAGGCTATACCCAGGCACCCCTCACCCAGAGCAAGCAGAAAAAAGACCAGCTTGCCTTCTTCCTCAGTTGTTCCCATTTTTTCTTCACTCCAGTCACTCCAGAATATTGATTCCTCAGCCACACATCGCAGAGTTAAGACATATTCTGTAAAAGCTTGCAGTTCTGTGAGGTTGTATGTTTGCTCTTCATAGACACCTTTCCTGAAATTGACTTCCAGCTGAAAAGCAAAGAAAACCCAGAGCTAAAAGGGAGACAGCACATGGTGTCTCTCCATTTTTTTCTCTTCACTTTCCAACTCATTCTTATCTTTTCAGAACTATTAGCACTGTATCTCAAATTTTAAAATACATAGTTTTCATAAATAAACCTCCATATGTGCCCGAGGACAATTTACACCTAAATAGATAGGAATCACCCTATTAACAGCACCTCCCATTCCATTCCCTGTCTCTCAGCATGTGATATAGGATTCATGCTTTCAGACTGAGTCTAGATAAGCAGATCCTTGGTGTTGCCTTTTTGAAAGATGCAAGGTAGAGCCCTGTGACCAAGGGCAACATTGTCCAGGGCTTAAACTCTGGAGGTGACCAACTGCAACACCTAGAAATACAGCCTCATGGAACAGTAGGTGACAGAGACTTTAAAAGACTCAAGTTCAACCCTTATGTCATAAATGAAATAAAAAAGATGTAAGTGCCTATAGAAAACCTTGGTGTTTGTTACTGATGCAGAACTAGCATCACAACACATATGTCCTCACTCCTAGGCTGTATACTTTTACCCAAATTTTCTCTTTACAACTATTGGTCTTTGAGTGATCTCTTAAGCTGTTAAATGACTCAGTAGCCTGGAGTTATAAATTCATTTTGATACTTTTGAGCATGGGGGTGGCAAATCTCTGCTCTCTAGACCTCAGTTTTCTCATCAGTAAAATGAGGATGTTGCACTAACCTCGAAAGTCCCTTCTGGACCCAGCTTTCCAAATAAAACTAAAAATTCAACCATTTATGTCTAAGCATGGTCATAGTTGCTACAATATACAGATTTGGCTACTGGCTTATATAAATGAATTGATTAATAAAAAATACACACTAATGGGCTTGTCCATTTTGTTAGGGTGCACACTGCATAGGACCATGGAAACTTGCAAGAAAAGTTCTGATATTTTTTATGTGTCTAAGGAGCTCTGATGGTGCACTGGTTAAAGTATTTGTCTGCTAACCAAAAGATTGGTGGTTCAAACCCACCAGCTCTTCCATGGGAGAAAGACGAGGCAGTCTGCTTCTCTAAAGATTTACAACTTTAGAAACCCTATGGGGCAGTTCTACTCTGTCCTATAGGATCCTTTGAGTCAGAATTGACATGATGGTAATGGCTTTGGTTTTTGGTTTTTGTACAGTTATGAAATAAGTACACAATTACAGGTCCTGGGCCTAAAGGAAGTTGGGCAAAAGGAGGACACGTGTCTCTGCATGAAGGCTGAGCATCCCAGATGCTGAGGGACATGTCTGGTGTCCTAGCCTACTGAGATGAACTCAGAGAAGGAGGTAGGATCCAGAGGTGATGGCAGATTCACTGTTGAATCCCAGGCTCTTTGATCGTCCCCTTCTAAATGGCCACTGGAGATGCCGTGGCAGCAGATGAGGGCTATGGGAAGCAAAACTTAGGACAATCAATTATTTCTAGGGAAGTATCTTCCTCAAGTTACTTTACTTAAAGGATCCAATCAGGACAGGTTTAAGGCCTCTAGGAGAGGTCCAATCTCCACATATGATTTAAAATAAAAACAAAACTAATGTATAAAATAAGTGTTAAAAAAAACCAAAAAACTGATTGCCGTCAAGTCAGATCCTACTCATAGTAACCCCTCCTTGGGTTTCCGAGGCGCTATCTCTACGGAAGTAGATTGCCCAACATTCCTTCCGAGGAGTGGCTGGAAGTATTAGGATGTCTAATAAAGTTTTATTTTACTTTGTAAGCTTTTAGAAAAAATCACATTCTGAAGTTCCAAGTCCAAGATGGCAGACACACTATCCAGACCCTCTACAACAAAGGCTCGAAAAAAAACAAGAGAAACAGCAACTGATAACTATCCTGGATCCCAGAGCACCAAAGAAAAGGTTAAAGAAGTAGATCAAATACCCATGAAAGGAAGAGACAGTAAAAACAGTGAGCAAGGAATAGTAAACTGCTAACAAGGACAGTGTGGTCATTTTGAATTATTGTAAGCAGCATTCAGATCAGAGCAACATCCAGATAACTAGCTCCACTTGTCCAGGACTGCACTGGCACCCATATCAGTAATCAAATGACCAGTAAGTTGGGAGCCAATGACCCTACCCAAGCATACCCAACCATACCTGCTGCCCCACCCAATAGGCAATGACCACCTGCTCCAGCACTACTGGACCAACGACAGACATGGCCAACACCACCCAGCCTGCTCTCAGCTGCTCTGCATGACCAGCGATCAAACACTCATGCCCACACTCAGACCTGCTACCAAATCTGCTCAGAGACAGGTGGTGAGTGCCCTAGTGCTGCCAAACTAGTGACTAGAATAACATAACTGCCCTGTTGCCTGGATGTATTAAAACAGAACAAAACAAAAATCAGGGTGAAGCAAACCAATAACAACAGGAAAAAATCATGTTCTTAAAAAAAAGGTTTCTAATGTTTCCTCCCACTTTGCTGGTACTCTCAGCACACGCTTAACCTGCCTGGTGGGTTTCCTCACAGTCATGCTCAGAAAGCTCTGCCTAATACAGACATTTTAACTTTTTTCCCCAGCCCCAATTTTAGAGGAAACAAAGCTGCTCATCATTTTAAACAACGTGCCTCTAAACCAAAACCAAACCCATTGCCATTGAGTCCATTCCAACTCATAGCCACCCTATAAGGACAGAGTAGAACTACTGCATATGGTTTCTGAGGCTGTAATCTTCATGGAAGTAGACTGCTCCATCTTTTTTCCTGTGAAGTAGCTGGTGTTTTCAAACCACTGACCTTTCAGTTCGCTGCCAAGCACTTAACCATTGCACCACTGTTGTTGCTGTTGTTAAGCGCCATCATGTCGTATCCAACTCATAGCAATCTCATGCACAGCAGTACAAAACACTGCCTGGTCCTGCACCAGTCCCACAATCCCTGTTATACCTGAGCCCATCATTGCAGCCACTGTGTCAATCCATCTCATTGAGGGCCTTCCCCTTTTCTTTGTCCTTCCACTTTGCCAAGCATGATACCCTTCTCCAGGGAATGGTCCCTTCTTACAACATGACCAAAGTTGGTGAGATGAAGTTTGGCCATTCTCGCTTCCAAGGAGCGTTCCTTCCAGCTACACATCTTCCAGGATAGATTTGTTAGTTCTTTTAGCAGTCCATGGTACTTTCAGCATTCTTCACCAACACTACAACTCAAAAGCATCGACTAAAATACGATGGCTCGTATCAAGCGCACCATAGTCTTCAAGGAAACATCTTTTCTCTGCAGCCCTTGAAAGAGGTCCTTTGCAGCAGATTTGCCCAATGCTATACGACGTCTGATACCTTGACTGCTGCTTCCATGGTGTTGATTGTAATATGAAGTCTATGGCAACTTCAATCTTTTCTCCATTTATCATGATGCTGCTTATTGGTCCTGTTGTGAAGATTTTTCTTTTTTATATATTGAGGTGTAATTTATACTGCAGACTGCAGTCTTCAATTTTCATCAGTAAGTGTTTCAAGTCATCCTCACTTCCAGTGAGCAAAGTTGTGTCGTCTGCATAATGTAGGTTGTTAAGGAGTCTTCCTGCAATCCGGGTGCCAGGTTCTTCTTCATATAGTCAAGCTTCTTGGACTATTTGTTCAGCATACAGATTGAATAAGTATGGTGAAAGGATACAACTCTGACGCACTCCCTTGATTTTAAACCATGCAGCGTCCCCTTGTTCTGTTTGAACAACAGCCTTCTGATCTATGTACAAGTTCCTTATGAGTACAATTAAGTGTTCTAGAATTCTTCTCAATGTTACCCATAATTTGTTATGATCCACACAATCAAATGCCTTTGCATAGTCAATAAAACACAAATAAACATCTTTCTGGTATTCTTTCCTTTAAGCCAAGATCCATCTACATCAACAATGATATCCCTCATTCCATGTTCTCTTCTGAATCCAGCTTGCATTTCTGTAAGTTCTCTGTCAATATACTGCTGTAAATGTTTTTTTAATTATCTTCAGGAAGATTTTACTTGCCTGCGATATTAATGATATTGTTCAATAATTTTCACACTCTGTGGGACCACCTTTCTTTGAAATGGGTACAAATATGGATCTTTTCCAGTCAGTTGGCCAGGTAATTGTCTTCCAAATCTCCTGGAATAGCCGAGTGAATGCCTCTAGCACAGCATCCATATGTTGAAACATCTCAATGTGTAACCCGTCAATTCTTGGAGCCTTGTTTGTCTCCACTTCCCTCAGTGCAGCTTTGACTTTTTCCTTTGGTACCATTGATTCTTGATCATATGCCACCTCCTGAAATGGATGAGTATCAACCTGGTCCTTTTAGTACAGTGACTCTTTGTATTCCTTCCATCTTCTTTTGATGTTTCCTGCATCATTCAACATATTGCCCATGGAATCTTATAATATTGCAATTTGAGGCTTAAAGTTTTTCCTCAGTTCTTTCACCTTGAGAAATGTTGAGTGTATTCTTCCCTTTTGGCTTTCCAACTCCATGTCTTTGCACATTTCATCATAATAATTGACTTCGTATTTTTTTTTT